TATTTTGGTAACGAACCTCTCGACTGGAATTTTCGTCGTTTCCATCCTGACGAATGCACTCGTCTCGCTCCACTTTAGAACGGATGTGCACAGTCGGAGGAATCGCTTCTTCGGCGTCTTCGATCGTTCGCGCCATACCTCAATTATTACTTCGATTTAATTACGCACATACGACATATGTTACTGTCACTGCTATTGAATTTCAAATTCTTAATCCTGTACGAACTTTTAGGTGTACTACTCCGCTTCCAAAATTTAAGAAATTCCATTCCACAGTAAACAAAACAAAAACAACCAGATGTAAGGGATACAAATGAATGTCGGTAGGTTTAGCTTTAGCTGTAGTTTCTATACCGTTCCGAACGGGAAATAATTTCTCCTGGTGCGACCCTTTTGTAAATATTGCCACGGATAAGAGTGTCAGATCGTTAACCGGATTTATTACATTTCCGTTTGCTCCCCTCTTCCATCCTTCTGTCACTTGTCAAATTAACAAATAATTGATGCGCATTGGGCTACACATCTCTCCTAAAATATACTTCGTTTCGCGAGGGTCATGAAACTCAACCAGGTAAAACTCATCATCCCCAGAGTGACAGTCGTCAATCTGTATGTTTCACCTCCCCGAATTTATGACGAAGTGGAAACGATAAATACGGCCATTTAAATTTGACAGCTTAACGGTGTACTTTAATTGATCACCTGGATGATACATACGTGATATCAGTAGGTACTACGGATGGTTCTACGTTCGAAAATAAGCCTAAAACGTCGAATAAATTAACGTCGTCCCGGATACGCCTCCATAACGCTACTAGCTTTGCGTCCGTAAATAAAAAAAAACTCCTCGTCAATTTAAACATTAAATGCTCCGTCTTACTTTTATTACCATACCAAATTCGAGTTTCCCAGAAGCAAGGAACGCATCGACCGTAATTACGACGGTGTTGTTCAATTTTCCACGGTGCTGCATAGAATTACACCGTCGAAACGAACTCCGTCCCGATTACGCAAAGGTTACGTTATCGCGTGCGAGATTTCGCCCGGAGTTTTCCCTTCGATTAATTAACCGGTCATACAAAGTTGATATTTATGGAATCACGTCACGGCCGCGAGCGTTACTTCAGAGTGAAGTAACCGTAGTCACGGTGCTTGTTTTTATGTAACTAACCTTCACCGTGTTGTTATCTGTGTATTCCACTCGCAGAGGTAAAGGCTCGCGGTGTTTGTACGCGTGTACGCCGGGCTCGAACTTTCTTAGATAGCAGATTATCGCGGCAGTGGTATTTTTCAGAATTCTAATGAACGGTTTAACCGTGCAAACGCCATGGAAGAAACGCCCAAGCGATCGCTTCATAAGAGTGCACCAACGGCGATAAAAGATTTTACGTTCTCGGTCGACCGGTACGAAGCGTGTACCTAATGCCATTAGGGCGCTGCTTTTCCTATTCGACGATTCCTCGCTGCGAAAAACGGCGAGGAGGAGGAGGGGGGGGGGGATTGAGAATCACTGGCAGTCGAGGTTTCTTTGTCCGTGTCGGGCGAAACGTGAAACGAAAAAAACGATGCAGGAAAGCGGCGGCGGCGGTCCTGTGTGTATTTTAGTAACGAATGTTAAAGGAAAAAGTGACGCTCCTGGGCGGTGCGCGTGTTTGAACAAAGACGGCACGATTTTTGACGCTCGAGAGGCTTTTCTCTCGCTTATCCTCTTCGCGCTTCTCCGTCGGGGCTTGTCCGAGTACTCGAAACCAGCGCGAGATTATTTCGTTCCTCTGGTTACAGTTTACGGCGTTTATAAATACATTTGGAGGATTGTTTTGTCGCTGCGCTTTCCTCGCGTGACTGATGCCTCTACATTTTATTTAGAATAGTTATCGAGACCGAGCTACTTGAATTTATTCGAGAAGTAAAGCTACTCGAATTACCTACAGTTATTTGAATAATTGCGCGGGAATTATTCCAATGACCGAGTTACTAACATTCCCTCGAATTACTTGGGTAACAGAGCTACAGTAATGTCTCCATCGCTGCACGAGCTCGGAACTGACTTTGTGCATTTATCGTAGAGTTCGTATATTTTGTTTCCCAACCAGCTTCGAACGTAGAAAAGAACTCTACAACCTGCTCAAGAGGTATACTCCTCAGTGATGGGGCTGGTTTCTGTGCATTTATCGTAGACAAACTTGTGCAGTTACGTAGACATTACTGTACTCGATTTATTTTTAGCCACGCGAACAAACCGAACCACTCCAATTTGCTCGAGTTACTCGAGTAATTTTGTTATTTGAGTATTTCTAATTCCTTAAATTCCGAGCTGATTGAAATTTTCTTTTTAGGGCTTCTCGAACCATACGAGCAGCCTATTAATTTTTGTCGGGACCGTCGAAGAGTTCCTCGCTCTAAGAATTTATGTACCCACTCGAAGCACCATTTCTTTTTACATTTATATTTACCGATTCGTGCAGAGCCGCCCCCTTTTACGTTTTGCCTATATACATATATAGGGAATCGTATCCGTTTCCGACTCCTCATTTGAAATGGTAATAGGACTTCTAAATAGAGTTTTTCAAATGCAGGAAACAACATCCTCGCGAAGAGCCGAGTCTATTTCCATGTATGCGTTACATAATATTTACTCATTGTACGACTTTTGCGCCTAGACTAATAAAAACCCTGTTCGATTATTAAATATGTATACGTCTAGTTTAACGGGAAATCTGTGGAAGCCAATACCTTGGTAGGAAGAATTTGACGAACACGTGCCTTTGCGAAGCGCTACCTTACGCTATAGATCGTGCCAGATCGGAGACGTATAATCAGACAATTATGCTCATAATAGCAGACTCGGGTTCTTAGTAACTCCGCTGCGAAGAGGTCCGCTGGCGAGGGCCCTATTTACCTACGTGCCTTATGGGAAAGTTTGCGGTCGCTTAGCCGCAAAAAGTGACGTGCAATTTCGCGACGTCGTCCCCGCTTATTGTAACTCGTTTCCTCGCTCACGTAGACTCGCGTGAGAACAATTTTTAATGTCGCTGTAGTCGTTAATTCCCAAATTCGAATCGAATAACGTATCCGTAACTCCGTTGTAAAGATTTAAAATTAATTTAAACACGAACAGCCGTAACACAGATACACAGAAAATCTGTCTTTTTAACTATACGAGTAAAAAAATGTCCCTCTTAATTTTTCAATCGGGGTTGCCACCTCTGCTAGGATTTATTTTTATTTACGAGGCGTCAAAGATCGTACCGATTTTGAAATTAATGGAAACAGGTCAGCCAGTATGTATGTTATTCAAATTATCGGCTTTCGTGTCGCTGTTACGAATAATCGCATAAAAGAGAAGGTAGAAAAATCCACGGAACGCCGTTGTTCTGGTAAAAGGGGCTATAAGAATTTCCAGGGTTTTTTTTTTTTTTTTTTTTTTTTTGCGTAGCTGAAATCTATCGACGCCAGTTCGTCGGGCGATCTACATTGAAACCGGCGCCGAAATTGCCCCTTTACGCAAGGTTAGAATAATAGGTTAAAATATAAAATAGAAAAGAAACGGGTATACCGCCCGAGGCGATGTATCTTCGCCGAAAACGATAATTGTTTTTTTTAACAGTCGATCTTTCGATCCGTATCCCTGATCCACCTGAACAGCGTCGATCCCTGGAGGATTTTAGTGCGAGGTTACAGTACTTTGAGACAAAATTTTATTGAAATAAAGAAAAAAATAGAAACAGTGTAAGGTTTTTTTTATAAATAGGACACACTTAAATTGTCCTCTTCCTGGACACAAACTCGATATATTTCTATTAATCTCAAGTTATAGTCAATCGCAATGATCACACTCGACACGCACGTCGATTCGCAATCGCACACCTTCGGAACGCTCTCTCTCTCTCTCTCTCTCTCTCTCTCTCTCTCTCTCTCTCTCTCCTTCTCCTCTCTCGGTGTTCCTACTTATGAGAGAGCACGAAGCTCTCCCACTACACATATTACCCAAACTTATACAGTCTCTATACAGTCGCTTACAACAGTGTATTTTCAACCGGATAAGAATCATTTCATATTGTCACAGAAAAATGTCCGAGTCCAAGTATTTAACTAAAGCTTTTATTAACAGCTAAATTAGTTATAAAACGACGGCATTAATTGCAGAGCCGTACCGAACGTGATTTTATTGTGGTATCGCGAGGAGCACGATTACTACGGCGAACAGTATTATGCCACGCTTATATCTAGGTCTTGGGCTTTGTGTGACGTTCTCTTTCGCACAGAGAGGCGAAGTGATACCAGCATGCGAGGAATGGATTAGCAGAGGCAAGCCTGGCGTCGTGGTAATTCGGCATAATTTGTTAACTGCTCTGGGAATGGCATTTCTCGTTTCGCGCAGCCGCCGATACGTTGAACCGTACGTTTTCGTTATTCCATCCGTCTCTGTTGGTCGAAGGCATCGTTCGAATAATTCACGCGATATTTAGAATCAATTTTCAGAATTTAGTTAAATTTGATTTTGTAGTCGGTAATGATTTGATTTGCGCGCTGAAAGTACGAGAGCGCGACGATACAAGCTCCTACGTTTTTTGGTCGCGACACTCGTGTGTCTAGAGTATGCCAAATACGGTACAGCAGTAACGTTCTGTGAGTCGACCCATCAACTACGATACGAATAAACCACGTGAAACCGTTGAATCTGTTCTTCCTTAACAACCACGGCCAGAAAGAATAAAAGTATCCCCACAATTTTTGCTTCTAATAGAATTTTAGTTTACGAATCCCCCTTATATTTACACGAATAGCTACACCGCCTCGTTTTACTCGTACATGATCGGAATGATCGGTAACGAGTATATTAAGTCGGGCTTTTCGTATGACGACGTGAATTTAGCGCACGTCGTACGTCGAAGAGAATCATCGCGGCGGCGATAGCCGAGGCAACGTACCAGATAAGCACGTTATCGAAACACTACAGACAGCTGTAGCCCATACCGTGGCACACGGGGTGGGTGCATCGGGCGGTGGCTTGTCGGCGAGTGTCACGGTACTGTTCTAAAACAGGGCCACTACGCATGCGCGATTCCCCTATCGCTTCGCTCTCGTCCCCGCGCGTCGCTCTGCTGTAATATTACCGTCGTTCTCCCCACCAGCCGTCTCCGAGCGTATCCCCACTCCGTCCTTTCCTAATCCCCGTGTACCCTTCGCGCCAGCCGCGTCAGTTGCGCGAGAGCCTTTAGTGGGGGAGGTGCTCTTCAGCACTCGCCGTGCGTAGCACCCTCTCCTCTCTCTCTTATTAATCACTGCCATTAGTATTAATATAAAGTAGTATATCTTCGCGGCCGCAAGCTCCGATCCGGCGTGCAAGTCGCGAATCCGAACGGTGACGAACCAATTTCGCGTAAATTCGACTCGGTGGTTATTGGCCGCACGGATCGAGCCCAGCGCGAGTGTGTCGCGGACGAAACCCGTAAGTGTTCGTTTCGCACCGTGGAAGAAGCGAGGTGAACCTTTCGGTGGACCCGCACCGTTGTGTTCCAAGTGCTCCGCTTCTCGCGGCGGAGCTCACGGTCGCGTCCCTTTCGTGTCGACGAACAGTGCAATCCACGTCTCTCCCGTGTCAGCTTCGTTTTGTGCATCGACACGTTTACTCGGCTGCCGTGTCCCGACGGCCTTGTTCCTCTATCGGCTGCTCTCCTCGGGTGCGCGTTAAAGATACACGTATCGTTAATATGTCGCGCACGACGTGACCGAGGGGCGACGTCTGGGGATTCTGTGCGCGTGATATATTCCAACGAGGAAGTCGGGGTGAACTTGTGTGCACCGTGTGTGATATTCTGGGTTCATCCAGCGTCCTCTCCCCCGTTCTCAACGAGCCTCCAGCGAGCCGTGCGCGTCAGCCTTTCGAGCGTACACGCTGCGGCGTCTTCCTGGCGCTGATTGAGGTTTAAATTCCACCGGACCTTGGGCGATTTAAATGGTAAGTGAACACCGCTAACCATATTACCGTTTTTCACGCGACTCGACGGTCGTTTCGCGATCGCCCAGCTGATGGACAAGTTTTGTGTCTTGACATTTGTCTGTGAAGAAAATGGCGTCGAGCGATGTGATTTTTGGCGGCTATCAACACGTTTCGATCGAAATTAGTTTTACGTTTAGAACGTTAGGATAAATGGATCGTAGAGAAGAATTAATTTCCCGAGAAACGCGAGATCTGCGGTTAGCGCATCGCGACATTTACGTTTTCACGGTGATAAATGAATAGGACGAGTGACATTCGGTGTCACGGTGTTAAAAGTCGTAACTTGGCGTCACGTGAAAACAGACCTTGACTGTGCGTGCGCTAGGTCTATCGGTTGGCACGCTTGCACGACTACAGTCGGCAGGAAGCGTGCTTTTCTCGTTGTTAAGGTATCCACGCACGGTCAGTGTTATCGTTCGACATCGAATATTGGCAGTAATATCGACCGTCTAGGTACTGTATCGCGAATCGACGCGACGTGATGAAAGAATTAAACAGTGTTTGATATTATCGAAACCCTGACAATGCATCGGGGCTGTTCACGTCGCTCTACAGCGTGGCATTGGAAATTATGTTTTACCAACATCAAATTAATAATACGGTAAGCGCTATATTAATGCTTCGATAATATTGATCGTTTGTGGACACCTTACCGCTGTGCGCGATACTTGGCGAGCTACATTTTTTTCCTACACTGGACAAAATGGAATTTTTATATTAGAATTCAATTCGATTAAATATTTGACTTTTTCAAAATTACGTTCGTATACATTCAATAATCGAAAGGGAAAGTATATATAAGGGTTTATTATATCTATGAAATAATAAACTAGAATTTGTTTTTCTGTGAACAAAAATAATTTGGCGTCTTATTATAGTTAGTTGCGTTATTTACATTATTTACATTGATTACATCTTACCTGTGAACAGAAAAACAACAATTAAAGTTTATTATTATTTTGTTCACCGATTTTCTCGATTTAACCAATCTATATTATTTAATCCCTTTACCTGTGCACGTATCAATTACATAACCTCTCTTTTTCCTCTAAATTGCTTTTAATTATGCCCTCTAATGAGAGTAATTCGAAGGCCACGCGGAGCGCGGTAATTTCAAATTAAAGAGAATATATTCTCTTTACATATATATTTGAGCCGTTTATTTTGAAAGTGGCTCAACTCCATTTATCTTCAAATCGAGATATTTAAGGGTTTGCGTTTCAATGAATTTAAAAATATACGTATAGGATACTAATGAGTCATACTGCTTGAGTGTATCTAAGGGTGTTAAATTTAAAGTTCCCGTTAAAATAGCGGCAATTGTTAAGTGAATTACATGCGTTTTCTTATCAAGAATGGAGTTAGGCCACTTTCAAAATTAACGGCACATTTATAGAACAGAAGAAAAATAGTTGCTTCCCATTCAGATTTGTATTAGCGTCCCCTTATTGAACACACGCATTATTATTTATTCTCCGATAATTATTAGAATAGTTGACTTCGATCAGCGATAATTATCTTACACTAGAAAATCGTACTCGCGAACTTGGGAACACGGGACCGTAGCTATACCGTTTAACGAGCAGAATGTTTGGATGGTTCGAAACCACGTTATCGGTAAAGTAAACATTGGGAGGAGGGGGAGTCACTGTGACTTCCAGTGTCACAGTTTGAACTCGGGCATCAAACACATCAACGGTCGGGTCGCAAGTGTTTACTTTCGATGTGTATAACCGCCGTAGGCTGTGCCCGATAAAGACGTCGAATGAAAATAAAATTGGAAAAGGTTAAACTCGCGTCGAAATTGGACGAAACGCGTCATCGGTTTTCCCACCGAATTTTCGCAGCCGGGGCGTGAATTTTTTGTCGAGCAGCGCGATCAATGCTTCAGGGACGCTTTCGTATACGCCCTAGACTCGTCCTTTGACCCTTAAGGGGCGAAACCACGTTGGGAGTCCGAGTACTAAGTCTTGGGATATCTTTTTGTACAGAGATGAGCCACTATAATATTTATACAATTTTGAGAATATTATATAGCTGATTTCTGTGCGAAATGAATTTAGAATGATTTTTGACCATTTTTCTTTGTGTAAAAAAAAAAAAACAATCACGAAAAACACTTAGCACTTTCCCGACTGGTAGCGTTTGGACATATATGTACTTAAATTCGATAATATTGTTTATTTTCATTACATTAGTGTTACATTATATTATATTTATATAATATTTTATAATCCACATATTAATGGAAGGATACAATGGGATCTCGTGCTGTCTCAGTAATAAATAAGAAAGTATTGTTTGCCATGGAAAAGAGACGATTAATAGGCTACCGGTCGGTAAAGTGTTAATATTATCCTTCTAATGTGGTTGTTCCTTAAACGAGCAAGCGTCGCGTGCAACGAATATAGGACTCTTTTTATACGCGAAGCTTCTATTTTTGGAAATACTTTCATCCTTCGACGATTGACCTCTTTATGCCCGCACCTGTACGCGCTGAATTTTATTTCTTCCTTCTTCGATCCGTTCGTCGATGAATTAATCGGTGGTAGGAAAATCCTTTGTGCTGAATTTATTTCATTATTTCTTTTTAAATAGCTACACTCTTGCTAGAGTATGAGATCGGTTGTTAAAAGATTAACGCACACAAGTCTAGGTCGTTGCAAATATAATTAGGTTACTTAGACATCCTTCTCGTCACCTTGACCCGCATAGATTTTCACATGGTCGCTGAATCGCTTACCGGTAGATGGTAATTCGCGTAGAACGTGACATAAAACGTTTTCGACTGTTCGTTAATTCGATATTCGCGCAAAAGGTATCTTTCTTGATCAAAAATAATATTAAACGGTCTCTCTTAACCTCTCGATGTTCGATTTAGTGACTGTTTGACCTACAGGACAGTGTTACCGACTCGAGGTAGACGTTACAAATAAATCGCCGTGTTTCTTTTCGTCGCTAGTTATTCCGATAAAACATGTCCCCGACTCTGCTCGCAGCTGTTGCCATCGCGCGTTCGCGAGGCCGCATAGTTGTCGATTATTCCCGTGACCTTGACGGGGACCTTGAATCCCGTTGAAAGTAAAGTCTCGGGCGAGCAGTAACTCAAAATCACAGTTTACTAAATCCGTGGAACGCCGTGCGTGCGCGTCATGGGAGGCTAGCGAACGTGGAAACAATAACGTAGGCATTAATCGGCTGCAGTCTGAGTAGGTCAATGCAACAAGTCGCGTAAATGCCAAGCTCGATGATGATACATAACGCGTGAAAGGTGAAGAATGCCGGTGCTCTGACTAACTGCCGCACAAATGTGAAATCGTTAACGAGGAAAAAATTGTGACGACGGTCTACTCGCACATACGCGAAATTCGTTCTTTTATTTATAAAGTTTTCGCATTTATTCTTGCAAAATGGATCGGTGAAAGATTGAGGACACGCTCACGGGTTACTCTAGTTGTAAAGCAACGCAACAGGCAGATAGATTAGTTCCCTTTTATTCGTTGCTTCTTCATAGAATATTTACAGTTATCAAAAAAATAATCCAGCACAGTGGCTTCTCCCATTACTGGATAATTCAGGGACGAGGAGGTTAACGCGCAAAGAGAAGGGAATATCTTTATATTTTTCTCTTTCGCGTTGCTTCCTTGTTTATTTTAGTTATCTTCCTTTATCTGTACCCCTTATCGCCTCTGGCCCCGATAATTTTGACGCGGAGAACAATTCAATCTGCTTGGTAACGTCATTGCGGAATGGAATGTCTACGACGAACGATACGGACACTCTTTCATCGCATTCGAATTACTCGCGTTCGCGACTACCAACGGGGAGCATTTACGATTACTACCAACACCCTTAAGGGGATATTGTCGTCTAGAAGTTTGTTTCTTTGGTCATTTTTTGGAATTAATTTTGCGAAAACTACCAAACCTACAGTACCAGGGTTATTTTATGCATAATAAAACACGTTTCAACTAACGACACAAATTTTTGTGAAATACTTCATTGAAATCTATACAAGTTATGCAGCGTGCTGTTATGCAGGTTGTGGCGTGAGACGCTCGTTCAACCAGGCGCACAGGTTACGACGGTTCTAGTCGTCTGAGACAGGAGAACAAACTTTTTTTTCAATCTGTATGAATGTAGTTGTCGTCTGAACTAGAATTAAGCGAGTACTAAATTTTTTTATCGGAATCGCAGCTGTTTGAAAATTAAGGTTTAATTTTCCCGGAAAATTGTCAAGTAAAATATGAGAGCAGGACTAAAATATCGAAGCTATCAGTATAATTCTAGTTCAGACCATAGGTGATGGTGCCCTCGAAATGTGTGTAAAACCAGAAGTCAGTCGGTCCAATAGTTTTTGAGAATAACGTGCGTCCGATTTGAAAAATGTCGTTTCGAGAAAAACGCGTTTAAAGTTTTCTATACATTTGGCAGTAATACTGGTGAACAGCCTTCAAGCCTCTGTAACTATCAGAGCTCTACGAGTTTCAAATTAATAGTTTAGAGGCACTTTCTCGAAACCCCAAATGATAAGAAAATGCAAAAAAAAAGAAATCGAATTTTTGAAGTTTTTAGACGATAATACCTCGTTAAAATTGTTTCAAGCGATCCCCAATCGGGCTACGCGTATATAAAAATTTCACAATTAATTGTCGCAGAATCGCTCCGACTTTCAGCGTTCTCTTCGTTTTTATCACGTTATCGCGTGTTCTTCGTATTGCTTTCGTTTTGTTCTCGAAAAATATGAACTGTTGCTCACGCGTACAATATTTACGTTCACGCTGCGATTACGACCGCGCAAACACTCTGCGCTCTTGTACGCCGCGTTCCTTGATTATTTTATTATTTTTCCCAAATATAAACACTGTTTTACGCGTACAGTATTTATTTACAGGGGCCGTGATTGTGATTGCGCAAACACGCCGTCCTCGTTTCGCGTGCTGCTACGTCATTACGCG